GAAATGATTGAATGACATCGAGTTCCATGAGGAACACCTGGAGTGCTCGGACCCGCTTTAGGAAAAAGTGGAGGTAGGCGCCGTTGGAAGAATTCGATGGAAGCGGGAGGACATGATAGATTGTTCCTTTCGGGATTGTTTGCTTCCGAACGAAAGTTTCGAATTATCAAAACTAACAGAATCTCTAGAGCAGCAAAAATATTAGCATTCGAAAAATGGCGGTTTCAGAAGTCTTTCATCGATGACATTAAATCACTTCTGCGAGTACTTATCATGTTCTTGCCCGTGCCGATGTTCTGGGCGCTCTACGACCAGCAAGGCTCGATCTGGCTAATTCAGGGTGAGACTTGTTGTTGAGTGAACAAACTCCTTTATAGCTTCCGCTAAAAGAGCTACCTTTGAGGTATTCAAATGGACTGCCGCCTCTCTTCAAATGTACTTCTACTTCCTGATCAAGTACAGACACTGAATGCCGTACTCATTTTGTTATTTATTCCGCTTTTCCAAATCGTCGTATATCCTCTCACTGCTAAATGTTTCAACATAACGTGAGTATGCAATTCCTTTCAAGAGTATATGTCTGACGGCACTCGAACACAGTACAAAGTAGCAAGTAGGTAGAGTGTTGCATTCCTAGCGGAAGCTTGCTTATATGTAAAGCACATGATAAGCAAATTCTGTTGTCATCGGGAAAGCCTTATCGTGTTTGCCTTTCACTTGATAAAAAAAGTTCTTAGCTGTCCATCGCGGCATTAGCGCAGGAATGTTATCACATGCCTGTCCTTTTGGGATCTCTGTACCTCTCTGGACCTTTTGTAAGAGTAGTACCGCACAGAAATGTTTTACGGTGGACATAAATAAAACAGTGCACAACTTTGAGTTCAGCTCCCTAAAGTCGCTGCAAAAGAATGGAGCCTCATTTTGATGTGCAGTATGACAGACTGCTCCCTATGTGTCATTCACATGAGTATAGAAGGGTTCTGTCTTCGATCAAATAGCAAATATGAATTCCATTAAAGGCAGTGCCCACGTTCATTTGATGTTCCCGCGCCCTCTCTGGATATCATAGCCCTCCCTATGAGGATGCAGTACTAGTTTTGCATCTCAAAAAGGCGAGAGGATAGCGCCGTTCGCTAGTGAAGAGTCGGCCGCCCCGCCACCTGGCCAGCATAGGGTTCTATATAGGGCATTTTCCATGATTTTTTTCTGCTTTTTTCTTCACTACTGGATCACGTATTATATGAGCTCCATAACTCATTATTCTTGAAAGCGGGCTCAGCCTTGCACATTCCGCGATAAAATAAGGCTATGATCTCTCAAATGTGTCGGACGATCCGGAAGGCGATTTTTGAGGCTGCGCTACTTTCAAAATGTGAAAAACAGCAAGAACTCCGCTAGAAGCTGACTAATTAGGCCCATGGACACCCCTTAGGCCCATGCCGACCCTCACCGGCTGCTAGCTACTAGCTAGTAGCCACTATGTTATCTTTCTCTATAACATTTCGGACTGCTTTTTCTGCTGCTTTTCTCCGCTAATCAGATACTTAGCACTTTTTTGTGCCTATTTGAGTTCCGTTTCCCGCAATTCAGGTTCCGAACCTGTGCCTTTAAAGGCTAAGCAAAGTGTTAATCGGCAAACCAGTTGGGGGGGGGCATCCTCCTCACAAGCGGAATGTGCTCTCGTATTTTTGAGCTGCGAAATAAGTACATCCTCCACCCTTGTCGACAAAGCTACGATATCTAAGGAGGGCGTAGGAACATCAAATGAACGCGGGCGCTGCCTCTAAACCACCTACTTCTCCACATGCAGTCGGGGCTGTTTGTCGACGGGAGGGGAGGGCGGAGGCGGAGGGGGGGGGCATTTTGTACTGCCATTGCTTCCCTAGTTCCGGTTTACAAATCTCACCCTGATAAAACTTGTAAACCCTTGTGAAGCTAGTGTAGGATCGTCTAGCCACCATCCTAAAAAGTGTCAA